CTGACACCTAGAACAGACACTTCATTCTTCTGCATTTCCGTTTTCAAATTCTCCAATTTTCCTGCTTGATTCAAGGTCCTGACATTCCATGTTCCAATCTTGTATCCATGCTGTTTCTTCTGATCTTCGCACTTTTTCTTGTTGTAACGCCTGCATGACATTTCCTCTAGAAACACTCCCCCCCGGAGATCCGATTGGGGGAGTAGTTTACCTCCGGATTGTTTTGCCTCCAGAGGAAACATCTCGCATATATGGTATCTCTGCTTTTGGAAAGAGACTATCCAGGAAAAGTGATAATGTGGTAAAAAAAAAACATGGATAATGTGAAATGGAGGAAGCATCCCAGTACTTGTGTGTCAATGGTTATGCTTTGCTGATGTACATTGGTAGCTAGGTTCTCAGACAGACTTACACTAAATCCTATTTCTCTGATGTCAGGATATAACCCGGTCTCAAGGGCTACTAGCATCCATGTAGCATCTCCAAACATAATGCAGTATTGCATACAATTAATTACAGGATACCACAGCAATAACTACAACTACAGTATACTACATATAATGGAGACTAATTATAAATAATTCCATTATGATGGCAACTGAATTTTCCCTTCCTGTGTCAAGTCATTCATATTCCAGCTATAATATAAAACTAACCATCCTATGTCTTCTACAGTTTTTCGGTATCCATTAAGTTACATAGAGATAATAATAATTAAAGTATTATTAGAAATAATCCCATTAACAGCGATACTAAACAACTTAATTATGTCGAATTACGTACATACAAATTATATATATATATATTTGTCGCTACAGCCCCAGAGGGCCTAGGCCTACCTCCATGAACTTCTCCGTTCACTTCAGGTTTTCTAGCTCTTACACGTTCGGTAGGACTCCTTGGGCGGGTGATCAGCTTTTCGCAAGGCCTCTACCTGTACACAAACACAGACACACGCACACAAACACAAACTAAACACCCATGCCTTGAGTGGGATTCGAACCCACTATCCCGGTTTCCAAGCGAGCGAAGACAGTACATGCCCATAGGTTACTTACGAGATAATAATTACAAATTAAGTATAATTAGAAATAATCCTATTAGGACTGATGCGAAACATGATTTGATATCAAATTGCTACATAAATACCAACCTGGGTGAGACTCGTGCAGTGTTGCGCTCAGTGCTTAGTTGTTCACACACCTTCTACAAGGTAAAGTAACATTTCAAATAGCTTCTGACCTTGTACAGTGTCTCTTCATACCAATCAGAATTAATAACTTATTAAGAAATATAATTATACGGTTACTGGGTAACAATTTATCAGATGTCATTCTACCTAGGAACAAAATCATGTAAACTACCTGTTGGAGAGTGTGCAGGAGGAAGTGATCGTGACCAGCCATGTCAACAGAAACTGAATTAATTCACGAAAAAATAAACACAAGCATATAGCACCGCACTGGGTTCAATCGGAGTAGTGTCGGCTTGGAAGGCAGCAGCGTCAGTAGCGAGGTATTCGGACTCTGTGGTTGCTATACCTCTGTGCATCATAAAGCTAACGAGTTTAAGTTTCATGTTTGCTTGAGAACACAAAATTCGTTTCCATTAACTGATATTTTTATAATAATTCACTCTTCCCTCGCAAACCGATGTAACTGCAGTTAGTTTATCCTTGGAGTTGTTATGTCACTGTTAATATGAAATGACGGAAATACAGACGTATGACTTTAATGACAAAACAAGATACGTAAATGGTGACGTCACATTGGAGGCCCTGGCTAGTAAATAACGAATTATGCAGTTTCTGGAGAGCACGAAATTTCGAGTGACACTAAAACGTTACAAACATATACTTATGAATTTTAAAATAAGTCCACTCTTATAACACTTAAAATATTAAGCACTTTTTACATCAAAAATTTCCGCCAGAATTCCCTCAAAATTTTCACGTAATTCTTGATGCTAATTATCTCTTGAAAACTGTAATTATGCGCATCTTAGTCACGACATATGCAATTTCAAATGAAATGACAATACTAAAATTGATAAGACTGCTATATATAAATGTAATGAACACTGTAATATTTGGAAACAACGCCACTTCGGAAAGTATCATAACCTGTTCGCCAAGCAAACTACTTTAACGTGCTTTCTTCACTTTTCAACACCACATTCAATTAATATGAATTAGTACAAAGCCACAGATACTTGCAAATCCTCTAATTAGCACAACTCACGGTACTGCAGGCTGCTATACCACACAAAGTATGTAGCTTCAGATAAACATATCACTGAACACACGAGTCCCACCTACCTTCTTTCACGGTCAGCGGCGCTCTGACATACCTGAACTTAGCTGAATGACAAGTTCACTGAACAGGGGAGGATTGAGAGCAGTTATTCGACACGTGTCAATCTCAGCGACGGTGAACTTACATTCAGCGGCGGTTCCCGTAAAATACATATTATATTCCAAGCTTCACAAAGCCTAAATTTGAGTGCACCATGTGTTACATAAGTGGGTTGAAATATTGATTCCCTTAAAGTGCATTAACCCACGAGTTTGCTAAATCAAGATGATGCAACCTGACACAGAATCTGCGAATATGGTATACATTTAGTGATGCAGAAACTTGTTCGCTTCTCTCAGACCAAACTCATGGGATCCTCATGCCAGCAAAGTCCTCCAAAATTCCAGTACTCTTTTTACCTAGTTCTGTTGATACACTCTACACCCTATCCTCAGCTAGACTGACTGACTCTACAGCACTCACTCAACAAAGGACTGATTAGCAGTGAATAATGAGAAATACAAACAAAGTGGCTGGGTCTAATCTGAGGAACAATTCTTCTCTCTGTGACTGAGCAACTAATATCTGGGGTGAGATTGTGTCTGAGGGCTCTAGAATACACAAATGGCTAGCAACTCAAAGAAGATGTTCAGGCTAAGAACAGTACAGACAAAATCTCATGTGTTAGTTACATACCATCCACACTGTACATCTTCACAGGAAGTACAGAAAAGTTGGGGGGGATTCCACTGTTGCACCTTCATGGCTCACTCTGACATCAGTCCTGATATAACAATCTCTTCACAGCCGCCTCTCCAGAACTGTCAAACAGTAACCTTTATATAATGCTTGCTTACACAACCATTAATTATAATCCATTTACAGTTTGATTATTAACATGTATTTTTCGAATGATCTTTTCACTAGATATTTTGAACATCCTCAGTCTCCACAAACCATGCTGTTTGATTAAGTTATTCTGCTTCGTTAGTATTGACAGGATTACTTAGCCATGGCTGGGGGACAAAGGGTCAGGATTCCTTACATTATCCTGTAACCTGAGAATGGAAACTATTTTTATACAGGAATTTACTTAGAACTAAATCATTTAATTTGACATGATTGTAAATTACAAACACATTTTAAATATCTAACTCAACCCTTAACTTTCACTTCAATTCTTAGGACACCATCTACTAAAAATAATAATTTTATTAATTCCTAACCATTTATAACAATCTTGTAATATCAAGACCTTGCACACAAAATTGTTTACATTATCTGAAGGTATGTTCACTAGTTAATAACAACTACCAACTGCATAATAGGGATCTACATTAGACGAACCCAATTCAAGAAAATCAGTTTGCGTTTTTATGGGGTATGCCTGATGATGACATACAAGTAGGTCGAAACATGTAGAATACACCTGTATATAACGAATAAGTACATGATAGAACTGAATATATTCTCTCTTCTTATGGAAGTTATCTATTTATATTGTGTTGACGGTCTGACTTACATGATCAAGTACATGTAAGTTTAGGCACTGAAATCAGACATTTCTTAGCAGTGTAGGCAACAACACACTTATATACAGTCCACATATGCCAATGTAGGTAGAGAAATTTCTTTCAATCTGACATATGTTCACATACAGTCAGACACTTACTAGAAATTGTATTTCAGCATTTTGTTGCACTAGTTTAATCACCATGTAGTTGAAACATGTTTTCTAAGTGGTTATCTGAGCAATGAATGACTAGTGAAGTCGCACTTGCTCAAAATAGGAATTAATTCAACTGCAAGTTGGAAATTTCGAATCAGAACAACTGTATTTAGTGATATTTTGAAATGCTTACTGTTGCGAGATAAACATTAATTTCTGGTGCAAGATGGGTATAAAGTTTTTTGAGCTTGGTATATATACTAGTCTTGTACTGACTCCATGGAATTCTGAAAGACTTCCATGGTATGGTGCCTCTTAAAGAGTTATGTGTTCTTTGCACCTACCTTGCTTTGATTCTAGTAACAATCCTCTGTTAAAGCAGCCAGCAATTTGTTATTAGTCAAGGAAAGCCTTTCTCAACCAAGGTTCCCTGGGAACCTAGGACTGGGCAAGAAATCATAAATACACAATTTTCATATTCATGCTTATTTGTTTATACTAATAATGAATGCTAGAGCTATCTATTTCCTATATTTGGAATTAACAACTTGCATAAGAATAATTTTGGTGTACTGCCATTTTAATCATTACAATTTTTTATTGTTGTTCTGTATGTAAATGAGTTATTTGAAAATTTCAACAATCTTAATAACATAATAGCAATTAATTTTGTAATTAATTGGATACAAATGTGTCAAAATAGAAATAAATAGTTCATTCATTCTTTTGTTGTAACCTGTACAGTAGAGTGCAGCGAATGTAGACATGAATGTGAAAGGCCTTTGGTGGTCAGAAACACTGTTGTGGAGATACAAAGCATATGCTTGTTGTAAATGTTGCATAAAGTCAAATTTGTAGTTTAGAAGCATTGTGGCCCTTTAGCCATTCTACTGCATATTTTTGTGTGTCTTACACAATGTCTGATGGTGTTGTATAACATGTTTCTAAACAAGCAGCTGCTGTGATCACACACTCCTCACATGAAGTGAGTTTCACATGAACACTGGAAATTCTGTCATACCTGCTCACCATTTCTGTAGCTGCAGGCCAGTGTGGTGTTTTATACCAAGCTTAAAGAGCATAACATTTTAAAGATACAATTTTACATTAGCATTAGTATATAATAACAAAACAGGATGCACAAAATGAAAATCATTTTGAAGATACTTAACAGCCTTTTGAGATGTGTTTCCAGTAGTCCACTAGCAGATCTGGTGTTCTGGAGAAATTCCAAAGTCAAACAGAAGGACAATCAGAAAAAAGTAACCACCAAGAAGAGAACTATGAGAACAAGCTTCAGAGTCATCCTGTCAAGAGTGAACCTTAGATCAACCTTTGCTCCCTCTGACCTTGTGTTTCCCATTTCTAATGCTGGCTGGAAGTCACATTCGGTACAGCTTTAGCTTTCAATCCAAGCATAAAGGCTGGCTTAATCAGGGAAATTCTCACTGCCTTCCTCAGCCCTGGCAGTTGAATACTGCTGATCATACGTATCTCAGCAGTCTCAGCTCTTCAATGGAATAAATATTACAGGATTTATGTAGAGCGTGGTGTTGTGACGAATGCTACTGAACCACAACACATCAGTCCTACTTTAACCCTCTCAATGGAGAACTTGTAATTTCATTTCGAATCTATTTGACATTCATTGTGTTTTTGATTTATAAATTATTTTTCATATCACTGGTGCATTACGTGTTTCGACCGATATAGTCGTCAACATCATCATCAGATACTTCGAAAAATTCTGCTGCGCCTCCCTCAATAAATAAAATTCCGAAGTTTATGCGTCCAAGTGTTCGTTGTTGGACGTTGGTTGGAAATGCTAGGTTATGATTCCTCTGTTGTCTTGTGCAGATGTTGTTATCTCTGAAAGGTGAGCCAAACTGATGTGAGCTTAATTTATTTAATGAAAACACCGGCCACCATAGAGTACAAATTCTTTATATGTTATATATCCAGATATTACACACAACTGAACACCTTTAAGTAAAAACTATCTCTGAATAGCTGTCAGCCTCAACTGAAGGTCACGCCGCCACAAGTACTTAAATAACTGGGATCACTGGCTTTACTTCTTCCACTATACGGGCTCTATGATGAACGGGTGGGGGATCCCGAAAACTAGGATTTTTCATACAGCTTGCTGTATGAAAAAACCACAGCCTCGTGGGCTGAGACATTACCAGTTTTTATCGGTCGGCTTCGTCCATTACAGAAACCAAACGTGTGACTGAATTCATGCCTTATTCATGGTATTGGTAACTTCTCTGGGTCGGTATAGTTTGCTTGCGGACTAAAACAACGGAGTATTTTATTATTAGTAATTCCGAAATCTATGCTAACCTAACTGCGTCTTTTCACTATATATAAATAATTTGATTGCAACCATTTGGGTGGGGATCCATGGGTACAGGATAAACTACTTTATCTCTCTCTCCGCATGCTTCGTATCATCAATACATAATACTGAATACATTAATATACCGTAGTATAATATAGATTAAACGATGAAAGTTAATTAAGACGTTCCATGAAAAAAGGCATTATTTAATTTAAAGTGTGTAACCCAGTGATAATGGCCGACTGAGTCGAAGCATTATATAAAAAAAACAACGAATTCTGTGAAATTATAAACGGTCATTATTACGACAATAACCTGTGAAAGGAACAATTAAGCGCAGTGCAAGGACGGCTACACAACCCATAACTGATATTTCAAACTATTATCTGTAATAAACAAACAAAGAAAAAATTCCGTGGTTTTAGTCTGCAAGTGAACTATGCAGATCGAGCGACCGCCGCTTGTCGGCGAAGTTAGTGCCAACTTTGACGGATAGAGGGTGTCGCGTGGTCAACGCAACGAATCCCCACGGCCGTTAGTTTCGGTTTTCTAGACCGGTGCCGCTATTCCTTGAAATAGTTCCTCAGTTATCCTCACGAGGCTGAGTGGACCCCGTTCCAGACCCACTAGTTCTCAGAAAATCTGGTAGCGCCGGAAATCGAACCCGGACCTCTGGATCTGTAGCCTGGAACTCTGACCACTAGATCACAGAGGCGGTCCTTGTACCTGCAATACAACAATAAATTTTCATAGCAAAAATAAATAAAATATTTGAGAATATTTGGTAGGAGAGGCGTATAGCAGTAGAAGAATTAGTTGCTTGAGAGGGAAAATTTCGTAATAGTAATGAAGTAGGGACAATATGGTGAACCTTCTGAAGACACACCGGTATGATGAACTGGTGGATGGCGTTATAGTAGCGCTTGTCGGGACGGAATGTGGGCGAAGGTTCACCTTATTCCAGGATGGTTAGAACAAGTTTTCGGTCATGTCAAGAAAAGCAGCCCCCAATGTATTAGTCTCAGTAGAAAAAGAGAAAGATATCTGGGGCGAGACATAACTAATGTCGTTTCGGTATCAGCTAAATTACAAGAGGTGCACATATGGAATTTTATTGGCGCGTATTTTAATTATTTTTCATCATTTTCTTTTGTCATGTCTACCATGCTTACGAACATATAGCAATTTGTTTTAACGAACTTTTTTATGGGCCTTCTATATATCTTTCAAGAATCACAAATTCTCCTTCAGACGCTCATATTAGCTAACGCTGTTAACAAAATACCGTCTCTGTGTAACGCGGAGGACGGGAGAATCCGAAAACAAATAGTATTCCATATTTGTATCCCTTGTTCTACAGGCTATATGAATATTAAACTGTAAGAGTTGAGTGCGTTTTCCCAGATGTCAGATGTTCTAAAATCCGCTGTTCCTTACGTGCGTACGAAGCAGACTTCTCCACACGCAATATGGTGGGACGTCCCAGAGATTCACTTCAGCTCTGCAGTAATTAATTCTTTGTGGTTCTTCGTACTCATATTTTTGCACTAGACATTAAGAAGGTTTTGGTCTTATTTCATCGACCTGTATTCTAAAGAACACTAAAAGCCACAACATTTCAGAAACTGGGTCTGTTTCCGTCCACATGTGAGGAGGTGGGAGACACGTACTCAGTTGAGTCTGTTAGGGAGGTCTAACCTCCTGTTCTTCAGTCCATTGATTGAGGTTAGCTCTTTCTAGCGAACCAAACAGAGTATTGTATTGTATTGTATTGTATTGGAGAGGGTGGGTTTCCCCATGCACTTAGACCAACTGTTGGTCCATTGTGCGTCCCCCTATGATATTCTACCAGTCTCTATTCCCTACCGGTACTGGTGCGTGTCATCAGTCCCTACTCAGCCAGCGAGTTCGGCCTCTACTGGCTCAGCGGTATCTCGATGCTTCCCACATCTACCAGAGGCGTTAGAGTTTACTGTTGGGCGGGAAATTTCATGAATTTGGCTCAGTGGTCCCCTCCCGGAGGACTTGTTCCCTGAAGTTTTCCGCCCTTAAAAATTCCACGACCTCCGCCGGGTTTGAACCCGCGTACCTTGAGTCACGAGGTGGGAACGTTACCCCTAGACTACGGAGGCCGCTAACCAAACAGAGTAAGTGTCTCCTATCTCTTCATCTGAGGAAGGAAACGGAAACATTGTCTTTAGTGCTCTTTAGAATACCAGACGATGGACGAAGTCCAAAAAGCCAGCAAATCCAAGTGTTACACACCATCGTCAGAACCCTTTAGGATCTACGTACATTACAACGTAAAGTAAAAAAAGTAAAGTTATCCCTGTACCAGACCGTGAAGACCCATAGGATTGTGAGACGTTGAGGGTCCCACACTATCTAGACAATCGGCTCAAAGATGGCGGTAAAGTTGTCAGCCTTACGCGGCGGCCGCACTTTACTCCCCAGGAAAATTATTTAATTAATTCCTGGTACTCATTTCTGTTAGAGGCTGAGTCAACCCCAGGGCCATAGTGCGACTGGAAGGAAGAGGTCTATTGAAAAATTCCAATGATCTCATCGGGACTTGAACCCGCGACCTTCCGGTTTGTAGCGTAGCCCCTCAACCAACTACGCCACCACGTAATTTCTCAAAATTTTATCCATTTTGAGTAGACCTTTAGAAAGTTTTCCCAATTAATGAATAAGTGAACTTAATTTTCACTGTATAAAAAGGCTGTCTTGAAAAAACTATATCTCGTCTTGTATTATGGGAAGGATGATAGAATCGGGAGGACTAGGGTGTGTATCCACGGAATACTGCACGCAAATAGGAGTTTGTGGTACTTGTTGAGGGTTGGGTACAACGGGACTCTTTCATAGCCATCAGAACTGGATTATGTACATTCTTTATTGCACAACCCAGGTTTGCAAAACAGCACATGAACCACAACACTCTTCCACTAAACTGTTTGATTCACAACATAATTGCGTCCTTGGAATGCCTGCGCACACTTACATAAAATTACCCTAAAGGTAACGTATACAGCAACTCTGTACAGGTTTAAGATTTTTACAGTTCATAATGATATTTCTTTTAAGGTTTTAGTTGAATGTTGATTTGTTTATTACCTTAAAGCTTTCTTATACTATTAAGTCCATAAATAAAAACACCAGGGTACAGATTGCTTTTGTACAATATATTCTACTATCTACATTATTTTCCTCTTAATACACTTTAAGACGTACTGTAGCATTCATTCAGTTATGTTATGAGAACAACTTTCATACAGCACACAGACACACATCTGTTCCGCACAACATCCAGCGCAATCTATCGGGAGCTCACAAAAATATATCCACAGGACATCACCAGCATGATTTCCCTTCCAAGCGAATGGTTATCATCAGAACTAGACTCATGGTGTGAAATCACCAAAATCAGTGGCGTAGGCGCAAGCTGAAGAAAATTCTAGTTAATAAGCCTCAGTTTCTTCTGACAAAAATAGAGACAATTTGTGACATTCGAAATAAAACTGCTCTCTTTTCTTTCCTAGTCAACGTCTTAAAACTCAAAACCAGCTTTCTGAATAACAAATTGTGTTTTGGCAGAATATTTCTAAGGGATATTAAAGAGTTGAGGTTTTCACGGAGGTGAAAAATCATACTGTGGCCTTCTGGATTATAATACCGTGTGGTTTGATAGATGGGTACCAACATTTCAACATACCACTTCCATCCCGGTGACGTCTATCTACCAGACTCTGCGATGTGATAACCCAGAAGACCTCAATGTGAAAGTGGTGTAACAGATCACCAGCAGGAAAGAAATGAAACATATTCTGTGATAGTTGAAAATGTTGCAATTTTGTATGGTCAAGACCACACTGAAAACTAGGTTTCAGTTCTCGTGTTCAGCACCAAGTGATTGAGTGCTGGACAACGAAAACCACTGGTTTTGCGCAAGTCATTTCATGCGGTGTTGAAACAATACTTTTATGTTAATAAGCAGCAAAATATTAGGATTTAATTGTTGCATATCGTAGGTATGGGAAATGCCCTGTTGCAAAGTTGCTAAGAGAATTATATTTTCATTTATATCCGTCCGAAATAATTCCTACTTAACAGGAATCCAACTTAAACTGTATCGAATTTCTTAAAGAAACACAAGATCTCTTTGGTATGGCATAAAATGCAGTTCTTTAATTCAAAATTTAATTCTAAATGTTTCTCGATGTAGTGAATTCTGACATTTTTTTAGTTTCCTTTATTGACAATCAGATTGTACAATCTATAAGTTAATGATCTGATTGATGTACAATACAAAAGCTATTTGTACACTCTTCATGGGGTGAGCGCAATAAACATCCAGTGATGTTTTCCTCAGTTCCTTAGATCTGTTGGCCAAATTCTTTTGAGTCTTCGATTTTGGTGAGGTTGAAGTAGTGGTTGAAGAACTGGGTTGGAGTGATTTTCTAGTTTTGTGAAGTACAATTCTGACAATATACAAGAAAAACGGATTAGCTATTCTGGGTAGAGCGAAATGCTTTGCAACATTGTTGGCCACTGTTACAGTCTGAATTTTGATCCATCACTGATTTTGGTCCTAGTTCTGTATTTCAGCATCCTGGTGCACATCTTTAATTAAACGCCTGTGTATCAATTCCGCAAATGATGCAACAATCATTAAAACAAATTCACAATTTAACACTAACACAACATGTTTCGGCCACAGACGACCATGTTCAGGTGTTTGAATGTGTCCAAACGGTTACACTGCTTTGATGCGCGCTAAAATTGCGCTTTGCAGCCTACTTAAAATAACATAATTAATTACTCAAAATTCATTAAATATTTTTTTTCTATTAGAATCTTTCGTAATATTATTTTAAGTTGACTGCACTGAAATAGGCTCTTTTAAGTGATTCAGCTATTTATTTCTAGTTAATATTAAATTGTTACGGACACAGAATATATGTGTCACTATTTCGGTGGAAGATGTATCTTAGT